GCAGAGTTAGGAACCAAAAGCTGCCCAGCCACCAGTTAATGAGACGTACTGTTTTAGGTTACGGGTTTTTGTTTTGGTTACTATCACTGAGTTTTCACTTTTATTTATTTACCTATCTGGGCTTATTTTGGCGGAGGGAAAAATTCCGTGACTCGGTTTAATTTTGCCATCTTAACAAGAAAGCCCAACATCCACTTTTATAGGGATTCCTCACATACGTTTATATTCTTTTGAGCTTGTTGATTTCATCCTTAATCTCCTCCTTGTTAGCTTCACACCTGTTTGGGGGCACTTTCCATCCCTCTGCCATCTTGGATGTGACTTACTTCTGATGGATAAAGAACAACCAGCTTAGTACATTTTCAAAAACAGGTATCTAGAGTCTTAATAACCAGACTGGGTAGATTTCATCCTGGTGCCACTACCAGACCATCTTCTGGGCTGGGAGGGTGAATGTGTTAACCAATTGGGAAATGACTCTTTAGTTAACACGTTCGTCATTCTACTTATTATCACCATTCAACATCTGACAAGTTTTCCAGACCATTTACTGAAATAAGCACCTTCATGTTGTTTCTAACTTTGCCCATTAGTTCTCATCTAAGAATGTTCCCTCCACTAAGAGGAAAACGCTTCAAACCAAACCAAGATTTGGTGGACCATTTACATTAAAAATCACAAATTCAATCATCATCACCGTAACGGATTACGTCCCGTGAATGTTTAAAGGAGCACATATGTTTCACAAAGCCCTTCTGGAATATGTCATCTTCTCTTTGTTCTGGTAGCCTGATTGCTGGGTCTCTGTGGCTCCAAATCTCAAATTTTGAATATGCCTTCGGGAGGAATAGAGGATTTTCAAATATCACCGTTCTGGACGCCATTATGGCCCTATGAATGTGCAGCTCTGAGCTATGTGAACATTCATCCACGTGTCTTAGTTACTTAGGGCTGCAGTAATGGAAATGCCACAGGTGAGTGGCTTTAAAGACCAGACATTCGTTCAGTTCAGGAGGCTGGAAGTCCGGGTTCCAGATGTGGCTCTGAGGGGAGCTCCTTGTTTGTTGGTAACCCCAGGAGTTCCCTGGAGTTCTTCAGTGTTCCTCGGCAGCTGTCTTTCCCCTGACTGTGTCTCTGGGTCTACTCTAGTCTTTCTATAACTCAGAAAGTGATTAGGTTTAGGATCCACCCTACCCTGGTATGACCTCGTATGCATAACTAAAGAAAAACCCTATTTCCAAACAGGACCCTATCCACAGGTACAAGGGCCAGGATTTACCACAAATATCTGGGGATACCTTTAATCCACAGCGCCATGTATCAAAGTGTGTATTTCCAGAGGTTCACAAGTACTTCTGCCAGTCTCTAATGACGACACTGGCAAAAAGAAAGCTATGAAATACAACTTTCCACTGCTGGTTCATAAACAAAATAACTGCACGTCTCCCGGCAATGGTAATACAGAGGCATCTTCTCATCTATTACAAACCTTGCCAAATTGACTGAATTATAGTTGCTGTGGGAACATTACTTTGGGGTCGCCTGGTTTCTGTAGTTAAAATTGCAGCTCGGAGGTGCATTAACAATATTTTGTAGTTATTGCAAGATTAATACTATCATTAGCCTTTTCTACTTTCCCTAGTAACAACATTCAGCCTGTTGCTAGCAGAGCAATTCTCTGGTGGATCTGATTAGCAAAGATAGCCCATTTCATTAATTAATCTCTTTAAGCAAACAGCCTTTCACCCAGCAGTAGGGACTAAGGTTGGGGGTGGAGAATGGCTATACAGCTAGATAATGTCTTTAACTCTCCTTTGCACTTTTGCTGTGTGGACAGAACCTTTCTCAGGATTTAACTGTGTGCTTCTCTGTCCAACACCTTCGAGGCACTCTGGGCATAATTAACAGACTCTAACCAAAACCAAGT